TACGAGCTGAAAGTTTTAATGTTTCAGTTTTTATTGTTTTTATAAACTTTTGTCTTAAAGCTGCAGATACACTGAGACACAGTTTGTTCCTGTATTGATTAATCTGTTATAACACGATGTGCAGTGATCAATAAGATGTTAAAGGCTGATCTGCTGTAAACTTATAATGTAAGAATTAATTAATAAATATATGAATTATATCGTGATGTAGTAAGATAGATAGACTTTATTAAGATCTGGATATATTCTCTGTTCCAGGCTTCGTATCTTTTTACTGGATGTTTGTTTACATTCAGTTCTTCCTCCTGATAATCTGTTAATGACAAGTACAGATGGGCGAGAGAGCTTCACTAACTCCTCTCTCTCTCTCATGCTGAGTTTTGGCTCAGTGTGTGTGTGTGTGTGTGGGGGGGGGTGATGGTTTTTGTGTATTAAGTGGACATTTGATACCAATACACACCGACACTAAGGGGACATTTTGTATTAGCAGGACCGGTTCAGTGTCATGGTCACTAAAATGTTTCACTGTGTTTCAACAATTACCACTTAAACACAAAGAAACACCAAAATAAATATTTGGTACCTCAACTTCACCAAATATTTTATCTCTAAAAACCTTTTTCAACAGCAAAAGTGAAAACATGACACTCCAGCAGTACGATGGACTCCAGCTGTACCAGGTCAGCTATCAGGGAACTTACGTTATCATTTTAACTGATTTCCAACACTATGAAATCATTAAAACCACAAATAAGGACCAAATTCATGACATACAATAATAAACAGTTCTGACTCACTCCAACAAACATGTTCAGTGTCACTCTGTCAGTGTTACACAGAGCAGCTGCAACTGTTTGATCCTCAACAGGATCTTTTAAAATCCTTTTAAAACAACATTAATGAGTATTTGTAGAAGTGTAAAAGCGCTTTGAGTGGTCGGAAGACTAGAAAGGCGCTGTACAAGTACAGGTCCATTTACCATTTACCATATTTCTTGGTGAATGTAACATAATGAAAACACTTAATTCATAATACAGAAAATATTTATATTCAGCAAAAAGAAACAACATGTTTTATAGGAACTACAATGTCAAAGTGATATATTTAAGGATGCAGGTAAGTCAGGGGTCAGGGTTTTAAATAGTTTACAATGAATAATAATCATAAGATATTTATAAATAACAATATTAAGGTGTGTTGTAAAGGAAAGGGAAACGTCTGTTAGCATGATATCATAACCTGGGACCTGTTCAGTCCTCAGTCCGTTAGCATACCAATGTGCCAGTACCACTCTTTGAGAGTAGACATCCCTACTGTATGAACATATGGGATGTTTCAACCCACTGCTCCTGTATTGGTGCTGATACACATGTTATTAAGCAGATATCATCTAGATCAACTAATTACTCTCAGTTCACAACATCATGGTTAGCAACCACCTCGATTTTGTATATGTTGTATGTTATATACAACATTCAATTCAGTTCAATTCAGTTTTATTTGTATAGCGCCAATTCATAACAGAAGTTATCTCAGGACACTTTTCAAATAGAGCAGGTCTAGACCGAACTCTTTAACATTAATTACAGAGACCCAACAGTACCACCATGAGCAAGCACTTGGAGACAAGGGCAAGGAAACACTGCCTGTTAAAAGGCAGAAACCTAGGACAGATCCTCCGGCTCTAGGTGGGTGGTCGTCTGTCTCGACCAGTTGGGGTGAGAGAGAGAGAGAGAGAGAGAGAGAGAGAGAGACAGAGAGAGAGACAGACAGAGAGAGACAGAGAGAGAGAGAGACAGACAGGTGCACAGACATACATACGCAGACACATAACAGACAATATAATACCTGAGTGTGTGTATGAAAACAACACAATGTAAACAGGAAACAGGCACTAACTATAAAACATACAACACTAAACTACTATACATTAGAGGCTCTTATTTAATGGACTATATTGTCTGTAAAAGTGTGCTCATACATCAAGTTATGTCTTCATAATGCACAGTGCCAATGAACTGTGTGTCCCTCTAATACAGTAAGAGCAGCAGTGTCCTTTAAATACACAAAAACCTGTATGTGTGTGTGAGAGAGCATCTGTGTAACAACTGAACTGCTGACTGGAAACTTTCCCATCAGACTGTCTCTGTTTTCTGTGTTGTTCCAAGGCCGTCTGTTATCTGTGTTTCTGTGTGAACGTCAGTAGAAACTGTTAGTGTTATTGATCGTCTATCAGTTTATCACTCTCTGTTGTTACATGTTATTCTTCTTCCTGTTCCCTGATTCACTTGTTTTCTCTGAAGGTGGAGCCACAAACATTTACAGGCAGAAGGTGGAAGAACTTTTCCATCGAGGAAAATAACTCCTGTGTCGTTCTTTTTTCTCCTTTTGATGAACAAATACTGATATAACCGATGGTGGCAGCAGCTATGCTAACCTCTTTAGAAGCAGCCGTTGTTGTTTTCCAGCAAAAAGTCACTTCTCACATCAGTTTTTAGACACATCTTAGCTCTAGCCTCAGTCCGTTAGCATGACATCATAACCTAGGACCTGTTAGCTTCAGTCTGTTAGCATGATACCGTTTTCTTTTTTTAAAATATCAAGCTAGTTTTTGGGAATATCTCCTGACACATATTTTGTAATTTCCACTAAAACTAACAACATTTCATCATCGTCAGCTGTGTTTTCTGCTAATTAGTTAATGTCAGCATGCTAACTGTCAAGGTAAATATGTCGGGCCTGTAATCTTCACCTTCACATTCTCCGTCAGCTGCTGCTAATAAACTTTGACATTCAGGTTCGACCCCCAGCACAGCGTGTTTATGGCAGCAGGATTAGCATTGTTAGCACACTGCAGCAGTTTCTGGAGGCAGCTTCATGTATTCAACTTTAAGAATGTGGCAGGTTTTATATAAAGAGAGAAAATGTCTGGAACTAATCAAACGCTGATGTGATTACTGATGTGTAGTTCCTGCTTTAGCTCCAGCACTAATGTGGACTTAATAGGAAGCAAAGGTCGACGTTTAGATAGAAATGTAATTTTACTTCAGGAACAGACAAGTGCATTTAGCAGCTATTAGAGGCTTTAAAGCCATGTAAGGCAGCTGGAAAATGTTTGTGAGTATTAGCAGCATATTTTAACTGTGACAGCAGGAAAACTAACAGCAGCTCATTCTGTTTGTTCTGAAAACATTCAGCCGCCGTTTCACCATCTGGTCGACCGAACCGACGTCCAACCAACACAACACCAACTCAAACAGTCTGAAATAACTGACGGCTGACAGAGCGTCGCACTGAGCGTGCTCAGTGATCAGGAGCTGTGAGTGCCCGACCCGTACCTGCTGACCAATCGGTACTGAGCGCTAAACAACTCGTTAGCTACTTCCATCATCTGACCTGTTACCTTTAGCCTCAGTCCATTAGCATGATAGCATAACCTGTTGGTGGTGAAGACAACACCTCATCATACTTCCTCTTTTGATATTGTTTTGATGTGAGAGACCCCCTGGTGGCAGAAACTACACACTGCATGTTTAACAAGGTGAAAGTTGAGTCTGATGATCAGTTACAATGAGGAAACTGTTTCCTTATAAGGTCAAACATGTTCACTACTGATCACACACACACACACGTATGATGTTTTTATCTTCATGTGTTTGATCTGTTCATCCCTCAATGCACACACACACAAACACACACACACACACACACACACACACACACACACACACACACACAGTCTTTGTGTTAATAATTATTCTCATTTATACATTTGAAAGTTTTATTTTTTGTAGAATTAAAGGTGAAAAAAGGAACTTCCATTAATCAGCCTATAAATAATAAATAAGATAAATAATAACGATTTAATCAACATACAGATTCACCAGATGTTATATTTACTTGGTTTTATGTTATTGATCAATAAGTTATGAAAAAAACAATATTAAAATCAACATTTTAATTTTAAATAAATATAATTTATTCATTAGTTTTTAATCGCTGATATTATTTTAATATTGTTGTGTTTTTCTGTCTTAACAGCAGGATGAGTGATGTCCGGTTGGTTTCTGCCTCCTCCACCGTCTCCAAGGTAACAGGCCCATCACCGGGATGCAGTTCCCGCGGCAACGATCCTCCAGCCTTCGTCCTTCCTCCACGCAACGCCCGGGTCGCCCTGGGGGGAGACGCCCGACTGGAGGGGAAGGTGCTTTCAACTTTAAATAAAATAATGAATCAGGTCGAAACAAGAAAACATGAGAAGAGACGAGGGAGGAGGAGACGAGGGAGGTGGATGTGAGAGGAGACGAGGGAGGTGGAGACGAGGGAGGTGGATGTGAGAGGAGACGAGGGAGGTGGAGACGAGGGAGGAGGCTGTGAGAGGAGACGAGGGAGGAGGAGACGAGGGAGGAGGCTGTGAGAGGAGACGAGGGAGGAGGAGACGAGGGAGGTGGATGTGAGAGGAGACGAGGGAGGAGGATGTGAGAGAGATTAAGATGTCTGTGGTCTTGTGATCGTCTGTTTCCTGGTGTGAATCAGTCAACCAAACACACACACACACACACACACACACTGTGCTGTAGATCAGTCTGAACCCTGTGAGTGAGGGTGGACAGTTTGGGACATTTCTATAAAGTTCTGAGTCAAACTGCTGCGTTCATTTTAGGTAGCACACAGAAACTTTTACAAACAGTGTGAATGTGCTTCTAGTGACTGTAAGAGCTCCAGTCTGACAGCAGCTGCTCATGGCTGGCTACCTCTGTTAGCTCTGACTACCAGCTCATTGCTACACTGCCGTGGTCAGTCTGTCAATCACTGCAGTCGCTGTCGAGGCCACGCCCCCTACAGTCGCTGTCGTCTGCAGGAGTTAAACTTTAAATACTGAAAACAAACTTATTAAACTTAATTCTCTCAGGAACAAACAGATTTCTATAATCCCACAGCACCTGAACGCACCGTCAGTCCACAGCTCAGTGATGGAGCTGCAAGGCCTCATGGGAGCTTGAAGTCATCACACACATCTGCACGCCACATGTTGCACACACACACACACACACACACACACACACACACACACGCTAACATCAGTGTTAGCCTCTCGGACACACACCGTATTGATTACTGTGGATATTGATCTCTCCAATATGGCGGCCGCACAGAGGAAGCATTGCTGAATCCAGGTGTGACGTCTGTCTTCCAGGTGCGTGGTCATCCTGAGCCTCAGGTCACATGGTACAGAGAGGGGAGGGCTGTGATTGGTGGAGAGCGCTGTGTCGTGACGCAAGGTGGGCGGGGCACCTTCAACCTGGTGGTGGGCGGAGTCAGAGAGGAGGACCTGGGCCGTTACACCTGTCAGGCCACCAATCAGGCCGGGAGCCGACAGGTTACCGTGGAGATCCTTCTGGAAGGTCTGAATACCTGAAATATAATTTATAGTAATACTAATGATACTTCTGCTACGCTATTACCCCTGCTAATGACTCTGTGCTAACTCAGTCCTTCAGCACAATATTAGCTTTTCTATCGCTACACGATAGTGAGGCGCGGGCCGACCCCGCGGGTCGGGTTGGGTCGGGTCATTAAGGATTAAATATGTCCAATACAGCCTACTTCTTAACAACACTGTTGGGTAAATCCACCTGCGACCTGACGTCACACAAGCGCCTATATATATATTTATTTTTATTAAGATTTGAATTTGTTGTTGCCAGTTTCCAGTGCCACTCGAAAGGCTGTTTTCAAGCACATTTGTCAGACCAAATAAAAACCTTATTTAATGACATATTTTGGTGACCACTGCAGCCAAAACAACACAAAAAGTTAATTCAATGAGAAACAATAAAAGTAATAATAAATGGATCATAATCAAACAGTTAAATGTTTATTAAAAAGAATAAAATAAATGATAAAATATAAAAAAAGTACTGGATAGAAAGTTTTTAGTTGTGTAAACGAGAGTTTACATTAAAGTAATAAAAAGTATTTCAGTAAATCTGCAGATTTTTGTCTCATAATTCATTTTTTACCTCAAGAGTTGTTTTTAAACTCTAAAATAATATTAATATTATCCTCAGTATCAGTGAGGTTGTACTCTCAGCAGTGTGTGTGTGTGTGAGTGTGTGTGTGTGTGTGTGTGTGTGTGTGTGTGTGTGTGTGTGTGTGTGTGTGTGTGTGTTTTTATTGCGTCGTAAACAGCTGAACGGCAGCTTCCTGTCTGTTAAACTCACACTGTGAACTAAACTGTGAGCTCCTCAACACAACTGATAATATTAAAGAACACTGAGATCATCGACCTCCTCATTGTCAATCAGAGCTCATTAATAATCAATAACCTGAGCTGATGAAGAGGAGATTAATTAACATTTAACACAGAATTATCTTTAATTAACCGTCTAAATCTGTGTGTCTGTAGCCAGAGATCATTTAATTTCTCCGTTAACCTTCAGTTCATTAACAGATTAAATTGATTCGAGTTATTGTAGGAAAATTTATATTCCTCCAAGTCTCCATGAAACAGGAAGCAGAGCGCCGTTTAGTTCCTCATATTTCCTGTAATAAAGGCAGTAGGGAGGCAGCTCAAGGCAGATACAGTTAGCAGTAGCAAATTAGCAGTTACTACTACTTCAGCTAAAGCTATCCGTCCATCAGAGTTGAAGCTGAGCAGCCGGAGGACGTCAGAGGGAAAACCAGGAAATATTTTCTCTATAAAATCTCCATAATTACTTTTGTCACTGTTTTCGGACAAAACCACAAATCTAGAAAATAATCCTCAGGGTAATCAATGATAAAAAGAATCTAAACAAGATAAAACCTAAAGACTAAAACGATTATTGGATAGTAGAAACACTACCGCTGTTGTCCACAGGGGGCGCCAGAATCAACACTAACTGAAAGTTCTTTGTTGGTGTGTTAAATTAAATTTGGGACCATTAATTTACATTTAGATATATTTTAATCATCACAGTTTATTTATTAATCACTAACAGTTTGAAACCCTCTGTCAGTGTGTCTTTATATTGTCTGTAGTTTCTTTATTTAATTGCTTTAAATCACTTTAAACTGTTAAAATGTTGAGGAGTCAAACACTAAAGTCCGGACCTGTTTTTGCTGGTTCTCTCACACTTTAATGTTTTTCCACCTGCAGAGACTTCTGGGAAGAAATACGTCCTCCCATCCTCCATGAAACCAGGGTGAGCTCCTCCTCCTCCTCTCTCCTCGCTGTGTCTCTGGAGTCGAGTCGCGCTGATAAACGAGGAGTCGTAACTCTTCCTCGCTGTGTTGGAGGAGGTTCTGGGTCAGACTCAGACCTCCTTAAATCCTCCACAGCTGCTCCTCAGGAGGTTTCACAGGTTTGATCACAACAGCAGACGTTCGCTGTTGTTTCCTTTCGCAGTGTTTCAGAATGTGACATTATAGTACATTTACTCAACTACTTAAGTACAATATTGAGGTTCTTGTACTTTACACGTCTACTCTCTACCTCCCGTACACAGACTGTAGGCGCCAGCAAGCATCATCCTGGGCGTCAGCCAAAAGTGACAAACACTGACAGCTGTAAAATAACTGACAATCATATTTAGAATAAAACATTACAATCTGCAATGTTCCTATATTTTATTTAGACCATTAGCTCCATTAGAGAGCTCAGTTGGACTCTGAATGTCCTCAAACTGCAGAACTCATAGAACTCCATTTCCCATATTTCATAGGTGTCGCTCTGCGGTCCCGGCGATGGACAACAGGCCCAGCATTTGGGGCGAGAGTCCGCCAAAGTTCGTCACCAAACCGAGCCGAGTGTTCGCCAAGCTGGGACAGACCGGGAAGTTCTCTGCCAAAGCAACGGGACGCCCACAGCCCCGGGTCACATGGTTAAAGGTGGGAGGAGCTTAGTGGACAGCTTTTTCTTAGAGCAGACAAGAAGACATCACAGTAATGAAGTCTGGAAGGAATAAAGGCGTGAATTAAGATCTCTAATTTTAGCTGTTGATACGTCGGTGGAAAAAGGCAAACTTGTTGATCTGATGTTCTAATGTGCCGATGTAGAGTCAAATACGGCTGCTTGGTGAGTGGCTGTCCGCTTTAAAATATGACACTGTATGTTTCCCTCTTCCCATTTCTGGACACACAGGCCTTTACGATAATAATAAATAAATATGCAAATAACATCTGGTTAGACTTTCAAACTAAAGGTTGCATGGTTAACGTTGTGAAGTGGTCGCAGTTTCGTTAGGTTTAGGGAAAGATTGTAAAGTTACAAGCAAAAAAACCTTTAAGATTACATTCCCACTCATATTGTAACCCTATTTAACAATTTATTACAAAGAAATGTACAAAATAATCTTTGTGTTTTTAGATCAAAGTTTGTTGGACCTTTTGCTATAAGTAGCTAACGGTAAAGTTAGCTGCTGTTTAGCTCGTGCAGTGGCGGTGGGACGTAACATACGGCTACTGCAACAGGTCCCTCCCTAACTGCCTGCTTATACAGGAAATATGAGGAAGTAAACAGCTCTCCTGTTTCATGAGAATGAGTTCATGAGTTTAATGACTTTTGGTTTCACACGGGACACTAACAGCAATCTCCTGGGTTAAAGTCATGTGTTTTATTTTTGAAGCAGAGAGCCACTGACCAAGCAGCAGAAAGAGACCAATATCTCAGTTTTATTAGAATGCAGAAGCAGGAAATGACATGGCATCCTGGCAACAGGCCTCTAATTTAATAATTCGGGAATGATCGTCAGCCTTTACAGGAACATACAACTGAGTATCGTCAGCGTAGAAGTGGATATTTATTCAAAGACTGCCAAGTAAAACAAAAGGAGAACAGCAGTGGGCCAAGAACAGAGCCCTGATGTACTCCATATTTCACATTTGTATATATTAATTGTTATTATTATTATTATTATAAGAAAGACACTGTGTTCTTTCAGATAGGTAAGACTTTAACCACACGAGAGCCAGGCCAGAGATCGCTGTGTCCTACTGACGGTTCGGGGGAGAGGGACTTCTGGACATAAACCTTTGTTAACCTACGTGGAAATCATACAAAAAAAAGATCAGCAAAGGATTATGAGAAATGTAGTTCCAGTGTGTGATGATCTATCAGATAGAAGACAAAGAATGATAACATGATTCTGTCTCGCTGTCTCAGGGGGAGGCGGAGCTTCAGTCTTGTGGGCGGGTCAGTATGTACGAGCGCTCTGGTCTTCACTTCCTGGAGATACAGGAAGTGCATGCGGAGGATGCAGGAAGTTACACGTGTTTGGTCACCAACAGTGCCGGAACGGCAACCGCCACCGCGGCACTGAACGTCCAGGGTGAGACAACCAGTCAGGTTCTTGTTTTGTTTTTTAATTAAAGATAATTTGATATTTGACAGGATGTTTCTGTCCTCAGGTATTCCTGACGACTCCTCCAGGTGAGTCAGTCATTCACAGCCTCACACAAGAGTCTAATTTACTGCTCAGATACAAAGGTTTTACAGTATTATGACAATATTATTATTATTATATATATCGCTTCACATATTTATGCAAAAATGTAACACTTGCAACTGTCTCTCTGTCTCTCTCTCTCTCTCTCTCTCTCTCTCTCTCTCTCTCTCCCACCCACCTAGAGCCGAAGGGTCTGTCCTAGGTTTCTGCCTTTTAACAGGCAGTGTTTCCTTGCCCTTGTCTCCAAGTGCTTGCTCATGGTGGTACTGTTGGGTCTCTGTAAATGTTATAAGGAGTTCGGTTTAGACCTGCTCTATTTGAAAAATGTCCTGAGATAACTTCTGTTATGAATTGCCGCTATACAAATAAAATTGAATTGAATTTAATTGAATTTAATTGAATTATATATACAGCATTCACCGCCACTAGATGACCCACCGGACTCCATTCACCAAAACAGTAATTTTACCTAAAAGATCATGGCAACATTCAAACTAGACAGAAACTAAATTAAACTAATCAAAACCGTCTCTGTTAGTGTTTCCAACAATCACCAACTCTGGTTAGGTTGAAATAATCCTTAATTCACCGACGTAGAAGAGAAAATATTTCAGTAAAGAGCTGTAATGACAGCAGGGTAAACTAATGTTAATCTTTGGGATTCAAAGTGCGTCCACTAACAGTAGTTGTTGTTTGTTCCACTAACAGTAGTTGTTGTTTGTTCCACTAACAGTAGTTATTGTTTGTTCCACTAACAGTAGTTGTTTGTTCCACTAACAGTAGTAGTTGTTTGTTCCACTAACAGTAGTTGTTGTTTGTTCCACTGACAGTAGTTGTTGTTTGTTCCACTAACAGTAGTTGTTGTTTGTTCCACTGACAGTAGTTGTTGTTTGTTCCACTGACAGTAGTTGTTGTTTGTTCCACTAACAGTAGTTGTTGTTTGTTCCACTGACAGTAGTAGTTGTTTGTTCAACTAACAGTAGTTGTTGTTTGTTCCACTAACAGTAGTTGTTTGTTCCACTAACAGTAGTTGTTGTTTGTTCCACTAACAGTAGTTGTTTGTTCCACTGACAGACTCAGGATGTTATTGTCAGTGTCTGACAGCATTATGGAAAGGATCCCTACAGAGATAGACCTTTAGTTTAACCACAAACAGCCGTAATATCACTATCACTCTCCACCAGACTCCAGAGACAGAAACACTCATTTTACCTTCAGATCATCGTAACATTCAAACAGACGGGAACAAACTAAACCTACAACTAGTTTTTTATTTCAACAATCACCAACTGTGGTTTCATATAAGAATTATTTTATAATCTATTATATAAATAAATCCTTAATTCAGAGTTAGATGAGAAATATTAACTATTAATAGTGTATAATACTGGTGAAAAGGAAAATGTCACCTAGTTTTGGTTTAGTCGATATAATCGGATTATTAAAAAATACTTCAAAAAGTATTTTACAAAATAAATGTTTCTCTATCAGCTGGTAATAGTAATAGATTTCAATAACCACACAGTATTCCCATGTGACCTCTGTATATGTTTACCTATCTGTCACCTGAAGCTTTCACTCTTCTTTAAGCTGCTGTCTCTCTGACTGATGACGTATCAATCAGTGATCGATCTGATCAGGAAGTCTGAGGGTCGATACTTTTATTGTCTCCCAAAAGACAGAAATGTGTGTACGATTAAAGAAGTGCTGCATAGAAAACAGACGCACACATTAAAGTCTCTGTTGGTTGATCCTCCTCCTGCAGCTCTCAGGCAGAGCTGCTCAGACCCAGAGAGCAGCTGCTGTCTCAGCCGGGACCTCCTGTACAGCTCCCTCTGGTGGCCGGGGCCAGAACTGCAGCTGCTCAGGTCAGAGTCACTACACCCATATAAATAACATTAATAATAATAATAATAAAAATGTTATTATTGTACTGGAAGCAGTCAGTGATTGTGATTAACAAACATTGACTTTAAATAAGACTTGTTTAAACGAGTTATTACAGTCACAACATCTTTATCATAAATACAAAACAACAAAAAATAAAAGATAAAGATGCTGACTTCTATTTCACGGCATCTGTCTGTCTGTCTGCCTGTCTGTCTGTCTGTCTGTCTGTCTGTCTGTCTGTCTGTCTGTCTGTCTGTCTGTCTGCCTGCCTGCCTGCCTGTCTGTCTGTCTGTCTGTCTGTCTGTCTGTCTGTCTGCAGGTCCAGTCAGTCTCCAGTTCGGTTCCAGTTCACCCCGGTTCTGTCCAGCAGCCAGCGAGCAGCTCAGAGAGCAGCAGGTACAGAATGAAACCAGAGCTAACGTAACGTTAGCGGATGTTAAGTAGCAGTGGAGGTCTGGGGGGGGGTTAGTGGAGACTGAATTGACCCTTCATAAGCCCCGCCCCTTTTTACTATGTGCTCCAATCAAAGTTGCAAGCCTCGGTCAACTTCCTCCTTTCCTGTACTTAGATATGCTATGCTAAGCTAATCTATGTTGGAAAGACAACCACATTTAGGTTTTATGGTGTCTTTTTATTTTCACTAGTTAACTTCTAAGTTAAATTGTAATATAATCTGCTGTTATTAATGTAATATATTATTGTAATATAATCTACTGTTATTAATGTAATATAATGTAATATAATCTACTGTTATTAATGTAATATATTAATGTAATATAATGTAATATAATGTAATATAATATAATCTACTGTTATTAATGTAATAGATTATTGTAATATAATCTGCTGTTATTAATGTAATAGATTAATGTAATATAATGTAATATAATATAATCTACTGTTATTAATGTAATAGATTAATGTAATATAATATAATATAATCTACTGTTATTAATGTAATAGATTAATGTAATAGATTAATATAATATAATGTCATATAATCTACTGTTATTAATGTAATATAATATAATATAATATAATCTACTGTTATTAATGTAATATATTAATGTAATATAACGTAATATAATCTACTGTTATTCATTTAATATATTAATATAATAATAATGTTATGTATCAGCTGAAGCTTTGTACTGTGTTTGTTATCTGTGTGTTTCAGGGCTCTGAGGAGGTCGGCGTTGGGGTTCAACCTGCGGTTCGAGGCCGTACCTTTGGACCAGGAGGCCACAGAGGGAGCACAGGTCACATTCACCTGCCAAAGTAATTACAACCTTTGATTCTAACTTATTGATTACAAAATAACGTGTAGAGATTCTCCATAAAGTTAAACCTCAAAAAACTCACTATTAAAGTTGAACTGATGTGTGTGTGTAGATATCAGGAGTCACTACAGTGTACTGATGCATTCTGGGTAATAATCAGGACTTACTCGTGCTGTAACGAGGTGTAACGACAACTTTCAGCCTCTAGGTGTCGCTGTCTCCTTAACTAAATTAAAGTCTTCCCACTCTCAGTCTCGTCTGCTGCCGTTGCCACGGTAACCTGGCTGAAGGACGGGCGTCCGGTGAGGACGGGACCGGGTCTGCAGCAGAGACAGGACGGCACCCGTCTCACTCTCACCATGGAGAGAGTGAGACAGGTGGACCAGGGAACCTACGGGTGTCAGCTGATCGCCACCAACGGACCGACTGTAACCTCTGCAACCTGGACCCTCAGTGTGCACAGTGAGACCGTCTGTCTGTCTGCTGCCTGTCTGTCTGTCTGTCTGTCTGTCTGCTGTCTGTCTGCTGCCTGTCTGTCTGTCTGTCTGTACTGGGTGATGTTTTGTCTAGTTAAAAGAAGAAGATTTTTAATTCAATAATTGTAATAACTAACAGCAGGAAACCTGATAAATGAAACAGGGTGTGTTGGACTGAAGCTTCCAGCAGGTGGCAGCAGAGTTCAACACTCACAGGCCTGGATTATAATATAATATAATATGATATATTATATTATATTATAATATAATATAATATAATATAACAGTAATACAGCAGGAATATTAATCCACAAAGATCAGATATAATATTAAAACACTGACAGGAACATTTTACTGCACAATAATAATACTTTTACCTCAGTGAGGGTTATAATGCAGTATTTGTACTGCAGTATTTCAGTATTAGTAACTGAATGGACCTGAAAGCCTCACTGCACCTGTCTGTCACCATCCTTCCCCTTTCTCCAGCTAAAGCTAGCTAGTGTTAGCTTTCACGGTCTGCTGTGAAGATGCTGAAGTGACGTCTCAGTGTGTCTCCTGTAGTTTAATGAGGAAATCTGTACAGCCAGTTGAACACAGGGCCGACTGACTGTGGGGAGTTAATTTTAGAAGGGGCATTACAGCCACGCAGCGGGGCATCCACAGCGCTGGCTGTTTGCTATTAATTCCTGCCCTGCACTCAGTGGCAGCGGCTGACTGACTCTAGTGTTCATGAAATCTGTTTTCATCCAGCGGCTGTGAAGGAAGCAGGAAGCCTAAAACTGAGCTCATGTGGGTCCAGACTTTATGGACAGGATGCATAAAGTCTCAGGTTCCTCAGATCCTTTTCCACCAGCAGGGAACCGGCTCCGTCCAGGTTCAATGACCTTGTTCAGAACCAGAAATAAATCAGTTCAGAACCTGGAAAGTTGTTTCCTGACTGGAACTTAAACCCAGCGACAGGTTGTTGGTTACTGTGGTTCCACTGAAACAGAACCAAGGTTCAAGAACCAGAACTAATACATCTGAGAGAGAGAGGGAGAGAGAGAGAGAGAGAGAGAGAGAGAGAGACAGACAGAGAGAGAGAGAGAGAGAGAGAGAGAGAGAGAGAGAGAGAGAGAGAGAGAGAGAGACAGACAGAGAGAGAGAGAGAGAGAGAGAGAGAGAGAGGGAGAGAGAGTAGCTCTCTGGTGTCGTACGGCCGTTAAACAAATATGAGAGCTGGAACCATATAAAGACAAAACACGCTGCTGCACTGACTTTAACACACACACACACACACACACACACACACACACACACACACTGAAGCCGACCCAAGAAGGGCATTGACGGGGGAATCCACCCTCTGTGTGTTTGTACTCGTGTTCATCACATTTTGGGGACTCCAGATGTTTCACATCAGGAAATAAACTCCCAACTACAGTTCTTAAACATTAAAGTTCAGTAAAAATACAAACTAGAATTTATTAAAAAAACAAACAGTAACAACATTGAGTACTTAATTAAACTTAATAAAACTATATCTAATATAAACTATATATATATAAACAGAAAATAAATTTTCTTTTGTCAACATATTAAGAAAATGTAAAAACTAAATAAAAACTATAATTATATAATAACAGACTCGTCTTTTATTCCCAGCAGCAGAAACATGAGTCTGAGCTCATATTTACCAGAACGAGGTCCTGCTGACAGAAAACTCAAATTAATCAAGTTTCCATTAAGATCTGAGTAATTATAACTAAATTGTCAAACATAAAACACAAGTGGATATTTGTTTGTTGTGTGAACGTGAGTTGATCACAGAAGACAACACAAGGTCATTAGAAGAAGCTCCAGTCGAAGGTTGAAAGAACCTTCTGAGTGTTGAAAGAAAGTTGGAAGAACGATGGAAAACATGATGGAGAGCAGACACTTCTG